AATATGATATATAAAAAAAAAACACTGACTACTATATTTGAATCTTAATGTAGTAAATGAACCCCCCCTAAAGAAGAAGGATATTACTGTGTAGAGGGTGACGGGCTCCACCAGTTGGGTCTGGGTTCTTTGGACCCAGAGGTGGAAACGTCAAACTTAAACAGATAGCAACCAGAAGTGGAGAGACAGCATCAGACCACCAGTCAAAGCTGTCAAATCATCTGTGATACACCCCTTTTAATATCAAGTTACTTATTAAAACAAACTTACCAGAATAACGACCATCTGTTCACACACTGGTGTGATAATATTGACCAAAAACCACAGAAGTGACCTCTGGGGAAAATACATTTGACTTGTACTTTGAGTTTTTAGTTTGGCTCACGTCCCATCTACTAACATGAAGGGGGCGGGGCTTATGGGGACGATCAACTCGTGGTGGCTTCACTTCCGGGAGCTGTCAGCCTGTCCATCGTTTATCCAGTCGATGCCAGTTACACAATATTACTCAATAATCAGTGAACCAATGTTACAGAGGCACAGCCAGGGTACAAAGCTAAGACCATCTCTTAGCATGAACGACAATAACAGCCAGTCAAATTCACGAGAAGAGGACAGATGTGAGGTCACTGTGACCTCTGACCACCGCATTTAATCCATTTATCCTTAAATCTAAATGGATGATGGTGGTAAATGTGAACAAATTCCCTCAAGGCGTTCCTGAGATACCGTTTTCATGAGAATGAGCCAGATAGATACACGGACAGACAGACAATCCAAAACATTCTGCCATCGCCGACGTGGAGGCGTAGAAAGCTAAAGTAAGGCCTGTAGTAGCACCTTTTGTGTGGAAAACACTTAGGAGCTAAAGGTCTGAACCAACTCTGGCAAAGTTCTTGACCTAAAGATAAGAATAAGAATAAACAGAATCTTCAGACTGAGCTTTCAAACTATGTCAACGTGTGAAGACCGAGTCTGGCAAAGGTCAAAGCATCACACAGTTAAATAGTTAGAAATAAAAAAGTAAACATTCCTGAAAGGCACACAAACAGCAATTTTCACAAGTATCAGAATCAGAATCTGCTTTATAGGCCAGGTGTGACGGGCACACGAGGAATTTGACTCAGGTACATACGTATAAACACACAGCAACGCCCAGCGTGAGGTCATTGGAGGTCGCAGCTTTCTCACAGCTGACTGACCTAAAGGTCGCCACACTGAAACTCCCACAGGCCCATTACACAGTGGAAGGAGGTGGAGGGGGGTCAGCGGGGGAGGTCAACAACTCCCTGAGGAGACAACACCTCCACCTCTCTCACCTGCTCAGCTCCTCTGTTATTTTCTCATTTACACCCGGAGCTTGTTTTCTCTTTGCCTGCGCCTCCTCACGCTACTTCATATGTTCAGATCTGTGCACGACGAAGCGTTCAGAAAAATAGGAACAGCTTGCAGGATCTAATGCAGTCTCATTCCAGTTCACACCATCTCTGTGAAGGGGTCTGGAGGGTTAACACAACAGTCACACTGGAGGAGAATCGGTGCCTGTAATCTCTAAATATGTACATGGCCAGAGGTGAAGAAGAACTCGGATCCTTTTAAGTAAAAGTAGCATTACCACAGCAAACTAAGCAACTATCCTTCTCACTATTACTTAAAGAGAACCTGAGTGTGGCTGATTAGACCTGATCGGTGCCTGGAAGCAGGAAATCGCTCCAAACAGAAGAGCGCGGCGAAAAACAGAAACACTAAATCTTACTTGTAAAATATTAAAACTCTTCTAACTTCAGAGGAGAACACTGTTTCCACCACTCGTGATAAGACGTTGTGTGGTTTTCTGAGATAATGAACTTTTTGGCAGGTGAAAGCTGGAATACAAGTAACTCATTGTCCGACTTCCTTGGGACTGTTTCATAGACATTTGTTTGCTCCTTTTATTCTGTTTCTACACATTTTACACATTTTTCACGCTCTATTACTGAACCTCCATCTTTTTCCCAGTGTTCTCTGCACCCTGTTAATCTTTTCAACCCCCCCCACTAACCCACTAACCCCCTCCGATGCCGTTGTAAAACCTGAAACTCACCGAGTGTGTTACGCATTAAAACAGCTGACTTTCCCACACTCAGGACTTTGCTGGCGTGCATGTGCAGCTCAGAGAGTTCACGTCGTCTTCAAGTGCACATTTGTGTGGGAAACCAAACGTTCACTTGCACGTTCGGTGTCTTTTATCCTGCGGGCTCACAGCCGTCAGACACTGGAGGCAGAGGAAACCACTTCAAAGGCAGATGTGGCCTGCGAGTGTGTGTGTGTGTGTGTGTGTGTGTGTGTTGCCGAATTAGCCTGCGAGTGTGTGAAGAATCAATGAAGACTGTGAGAACAGATCAGAGGAATGTGTGAAGGATTGGTTCTCAGCATGTTCCAGCTCTCTGTGCGTAGACGTCGGGTACTGTATGTACTGAGCCGACTCTCACTCACAGCTACACTCAGAGTCCATTTTCAACGTCAGTGACACAGGAACCAGTCCAACGTACCAGACTGAGGCTAAGGGAACGCCGCTCCATCGCGTTTGGTGGTGTGGATAGAGATAAACAGTTTGGGAAGAGGGACGCCGTGTCTACACTGACGGTGTTTCAGCCACATTTACTGATATGCTAAATCAGTAGGGGGGGGGGCTACTCAGGTAAACGCTCCACAGAATCCACCAACACAATGAACGTTCACTATGTCATCAAAACGGTGACACATGGCAAGTAAACAGTTAAAACTGACGAGCAACCAGTGGTGGAAGTAGTACTCAGATCCTTAAGTAAAAGTAGCAGTACAGTGTAGATTTCTACTACTACTACTACTACTACTACTACTACTACTCTGTAAAAGTAGAGGTACTCATGGAGAACGGCACATTTCACTGTCATATCACTGGATTATAATGACTGACGCTTTACTGTGTACATCACGTTTAATGCTACAGCAGGTAAAGGTGGCGCTAGTTTTACTGTATTAATCTGGTTCTGAAAAGTAACTAAGGTATAAAATAAATGCAGTGGAGTAAAAAGTACAATATTTGCCTCTGAAACGTAGTGAAGTCAAAGTATGAAGTATCAGAAAATAAAAATATTCACTTAGTTACTTTCCACCATTGTGAACAAGCTTCTGTTACATCAGGCTCAGTTCTTATTAAAGTGCTGTGTGTATTTGGATTTGTCTTCTCATGCGTCTTTTCGTGGCAACAAGCCGACAGGATCTGATGCCGCCGTGTTTCCAGCGGGAAACGTTACATAGGTGCAATGCAGCAAACAAACGGTGCAACAGCAGGATGGAGGAGTGTGTGTTCGTCAATAATGGATGCAGGGAGTGTTTCAGGGATGTAGGGTCTTAGTGCTCATGTATATTTTAACGAGCAGCTGTGTGTGTGTCTAATCTGCAATCGTCCTCAGGGGAGAAGTTGAGATTCAAGAGCGTTAGTGATCAGGGTGGAGGAAAGGAAGGAAGAAAGGACAGAGGTCTGAAGGAAAAGAAGGAAGAGACAAAGAGAAAAAGAACAAAAAAGACCTAAATAGCTATTCATCTCACATCTGAGTCACTTGTACAGGAGAGTGAAAAGACAGAAATCTGACCAGGTGGGAACTAGTAACACTTCTCAACACGTCTGAACTGATGAACATGAGGTTAACATACAACCACAGCAGCAAAGCTCAGGAAGATTTTCAAAGGAAACAGCTCTGGACACAGTCTGAACTGTTCAACCACCACAGATCTGAGATGACAACAGTTATTACTGTGCACTCAATGCAATGAGCTGAACACAGTGGCTTCTTGGTGTCCTTTGCCCTGGGTTCTGCCTCTCAGGCTACATACAGTACCATGTAAACAAAGGTAAAAGGAGGTGTTGTGTGTTTATCACTAACTCATGGTGTGGAGATGTACGGACTGTTTATTAGCACTGTTCACCAGACGTAGAGTTTTTATTGCTGAAATGCCGGCCCTGTTATCTAGCCAGAGAGCATAGTGCTGTGTAATCAGACTATGTAAATAACAGGGCTGCACAAACACTTGTGTGATTTCGATTCCTGCAAGAACTAAGTCTCACATGACAAGGATTCTTCCATGGTTTCATCCCTTGCATCAACTTATTCACTTCCTTTTCTTCACCAAGATGTGTTAACCAATAACCACAACTGCAAAATGATTTATTTCTACTGCAACTGTTATTTGGTGTCAGGAACAGCGGGTGAAGCTGCCCACAATGTCGAGGGTGAACTCAAATTATAAAGCCAGACGAGTAAAAACAGAACACTGACTCTTTAATAAGAGCACTGGTCAGACAACAACGATACACAATGCAGGAGTCTGATTCAACAAGTAACTCTCTCAGGTCGATAATACAGTCCAGGGTCAGAGCCAGCAAACTTACACATTCAAGGTATCCATGAGAAACACGGTCAGAAAGGGAAATCCAAAGGCTGATGCACAGAAAGGCAATACTTGACTGCACTTCAATTTCTTGACCACTAGATGTCCTACTGGAGCTCTATGTCATTGAGGCCTCGAGTAATGAACATTTGTGTGAATATTGTGTCGAAGCTTCAACAAAGCCTCATCGGCCATCACTAGTCACGAGGTAATCCTGGGTCAGACCTGGAATCACAGGTACAGGGAAAACCACTGGAAAGTCTGAACAGGAGTTAGAACAATCTGGCAGCTTCTTGGTGTGGGGAAGCTGCCTATAAAGGGGTAGAAACAGGTGCACATTATTACCACTGATTAGGGTAAAGAGTCTGTAGGTGAGATGAGACTGTAACAGGAAGTAGTGTAAAAATAAAGGCACGAGACTGGAAGCAGAGGGGACAGAATCATGACAATTTGGCTCTAGGTGAACAGGGCAGGTAGCGCAGACTCCTAAACAGTTGAGGAGTTTATTACCAGGAAATACATCATGTACGGTTTACATTCTCAGTTTGCACATGCATAATTGCACAATGACTGTTGACTGCTGCACATACAGCTCCCATGCAGCATACATTCTTTATTATATTCTTATATATTTTTATTATATTTCTGCATTTGCTGCTTTAAGTGCCTTAGATTTTGTGTTACTTATTTATCTACTTTATATTTCATTTGTATTTTGTGGCATTCATGTGGACGGCAAAGTAAGAAATTCATTGTACAGGGAAACAGGTTTCCTAACTGTGTATATGACAAATAAACACTTTGACCTTTGACCTTGACCAGTAAAGGCTAGGAAGGCCACAAATGTTAAAATGTCATGAACTTAAAGGTCAGCTCTGTCAGAATGATAAAATAAACGAAAGGAAGAAAGAAAAGTGGGGATGCAGATGGGAACTCAGAGAAACGAAAACAGAGCAGGGCACGAGAACGACTCCAGGTTTTACTGGTTTTCTTCAAGTGTCACCTTACACACCGTAAAACACTGGGTGAGTGTGTGTGAGGGGAGAGAGGGACAGCAGAGCACCTGTTCTTCACCGAGTACTGCCCTCACACACACACACACACACACACACACACACACCAGGGCCGGTCGTCGGTGCCAATCAGCAGAATCCATTTCTGCTCTGTTGCCATGGTGATGATGATTATGCAAACTGAATTATGTTATTAATGAAAATGTTTTCAGAATTAGTTTAAATATCTAATTTAAAATAAAACGGTATATTGCCATTATAATTAATGTATTTAATAAACTTAAACACTTCATTGTCTTCACTACTCCCCCACACAGACACACACCCGACAGACAGCAGCTGGTGTTTGTCTATGAAGACAGGAGACACAGCGGCACCTGAACGCCACACACAGACCACACAATGCATTCCTAAGCCAGGTGTTGTGTTTATGTGCAGCTGTCGCCCCCTGCAGGCTGCGTCCACACACTACAGAAACAGGTGTTGCGCTGTGTAACTATGTTATAATACTTATATTTCACATTATCTGGTCCATCCAACTATTCCAAGTTCTCTTCTATTTCACTGTGTAGTGTGTGATTACTACCTTGTACTGACAAGTTAAGGGCTTGTTTAGGTGGAGATACATAAACAATCTGTATCCAGAATCACAGACTCTACTGTTAAGTTTAGTACGTTAGTTTGAAAAAAGTCAGCAACTGATGTTTTTCATCATAGTTTTTACTGAAAAACTTAACACGCGTGGGTAACCAGCGTTAACTGTCAACAACACGATGACAACTGGTCACTGACATATTTAAAATGAAAACTGATAAAATATTTACATGTTTTTTTCAAGAACAACAACAAAAAATCTAAATAATAATGCCACCGATGTAAAGATGAAATGATGAGTCACCAACTGTAAAATCTCTCTTGTTCAAAGGTGGATTCAGCCATTTGACGTGTTGCGCTGCCATCAATAAGCGGCCGCCCTACGTTCCAGTGACATCACGTTGTTGGAAGAAGCAGGGTCATGAACCAAATTCATCTACAATCCACTAAAAATTAGACAAGAAGACAGAAACTAATGGCCGAGACAACGAGGAAGATGCAGCGGCACGTGACACATATCGTAATTTACCACTTAGTGCTGTACACATGGGTGAAATGGGTCCGTTTTGTGTCGCTGTCAAAAGGACCTAGTATCCGTGTGGGCAGTCGACCATGTAAATCCTTCTCCAGATGTTGGATTAAAAAATAAGCTTGTGTTAATAAGATCTGACGACATAACTTCACAAACTGAACCCAGTGAACAAAGAGTTTTGATCAAAACGTGACTGAGTTCCTGAACGACTTGAGCTCTGCAGAGCACCACTCTTGCAACAAACCATGTGATGGACTAGAACAACACCTGTAACCATGGTAACCGTACACAACAAAGATGGCGTCTGTAGCCTCAAAATGCTTAGAGGAATAATAAACAACAGGATAAAGATGAGACTAAGATGCCACCAATGATAACTAGACTAATCTCCTCAGATGTTTGTTGACTAAAGCTGACAAACATGAAAGGACTAAATTCTGGAAACCAAACTAAATCAGAATCAGCTGCTGAATTGATCACTGCCATTGATAACTGAGCAGAACAAGAAACCGCCTTCCCTCTTCACAAACCAACAGGATAAGAGTGAACAGTCTTACCTGGCTCTGCAGGTAAAGCGATGGTGACATCACCTCCTCTTCCTCTTCTCTGTGCTCACTGTTTGCCTCCTCCTCCTCCTCATGCCCTCCCTCCATCTCTCCTTCATCCTCCTTTCCATCTCCTTTGTACTCTACCCGTGTGATCTGATTGGTCATTTCAAGGTGGGCAGTGCCAAAAGGCTCTGACGGACAGGACTCGTCCTCGATGGTCACTATGGCGACTCTGACCTCGTCTTCCTCATCGTCCTCCCCGCTTCCTCCTCGGTGGAGAGACAAGGAGAGGAAAGGAGAAGAGGCTGAGATCAGAGTATGCCCACCAATCAGCTTTCTCCCTGCTGTTTCTTTGGAGGCCATCTTCATCGTTTCCTCCTCCTCTTCTAGTTCTTTTCTCCTCGTAGGTGGAGTTTTTAGTGTTCTGTCCTCCTCTCCTCTTTCTCCCTGTCCATCTAACCAGTTTTCCTCTCCTTCCTCTCTCCTTTTGTGTCGCTCTTCTTCCATCTCCTCACTCTAGTGTTGCCTCTTCTTCACACAGATGAAGAACAAAGGAGCATCCTGAGAAGACACAAAGACTGATCACAGTGATGAAGGCTGCAGCTGCAACATTACTTTCATTACTGATGATGAAAAATGTCATCTAAATGTTTTGGACTCTCCAACCAATGGTCCAAAACCTGAGACAACCAGTTCATGATGAGAGAAAAACATCAAAAGGCAACAAATTGTCACATCCTTAGCTTTTTGCTTGGAAAGTTACTTAAAATAAATAAATAAATCGACCTTCAAAATGATCATTTAACTCTTAAATCACCTTGCCACACATTTTGTTTGTGTATTTATTTAACCTTTATTTTAGCAGGAAGTCTCTTTAAGAGTGAGATCTCTTTATCAAGGGAGACCTGTCCAACATGGCAGCCATACACATGTACAGCATATTAAAATTCAACACATACATGCATTCACAAGATAAAAACTATAGACTCTTAATGGACTTTTTTTGTCTTAACTTGTAAATTATCTACCGCCGTCTGAAGAATAAATAAATAAAAAGTACAATGCTTTCCTCTGAAGTGTAATGGAGCAGAAGTCAAGTACTTGTGATGATCTCATGGTATTTTATTTTTTGATTAATGTTTTACCTCCTATAATATTATTTGTATAAATCTCAGTGTTGGTGGTAAAACACCTACTTGAAAGCAGGAACAGTAGAAACATTTCTCAGCTAATTCACGGTTTATTCCCTGTTAAGCACCAAAGTGTTTTTAAAAATATATGTATCTATTTTAATCTTTATTTCTGGGACACTGCACATTAATCAACATCACAGTAAATGTGACAATGTTAGTCAGGAAGCTAATTTTCTGTCCCTAGGCCAGATGTTAAACACAGTATAGAAGAAAACAAAGAAAACCAGAAACATTTAAAAACAAAGGCTAAATGACCAATCAGCTGATTATTAAAACATACAACCTTGAGGGCGTAATAACAGACAAGAGGGGAGCAAGCAAAAACACCCATAACACACATTAATACTGCTAAAATGAAAGTAAAAGACAGAAGGTAAAACAAACTAACCTTTCAAAACAAAGTCTCTCCTCCACCTCCTTGGGACTTTAAAACCAGAACGTTTTCTTCTTTGTGTCTTCTTCTTTATTTTGTCCCTTCAGCTTCAATAGTTCAGCTCCAACCTGAGCACTCCGGCACTAAAATTGACGTTATGTCTTCAAAGCTGTGTTTGGTACATGTCCAGAGCAAACTACGCAGACTTTAAACTTTCTCCGGTTCGGTTTTTATCCTGTTGCACATGGAGGTTTGCTTAGCGCGCGTTGATGACGTCACGCGCAATAATTACGCGCCACCTTGTGTGACTTTTCGACCAAACTTTGTATTTTTAGCGGATTTTCGTGCCTATTCTTATTAATGTTTTTTAAAAATATATTATTATTACAGTATATTAACATAACGACACAAAGGTTTTAGCCTATATCTGAGCAATGGCTCAATAATACAAATAAAAAACATGCACAAACGTCAAAATGCTTTTAACACAAATACAAGTTTTAAAACAAACAGCACAGATCAGATGGATTAGATGTCATTCGATAATTACATTAATACTGTTTTGAATTTTTGCTTTCTGTAGACACAAATACAGGAGGAAGGAAATGAGGCATTGTCCTAACACAAACTGCATAAAAATTAGCAGACTGTTTTGTTAATCAATGAATTATTGATTGATAAACTTGAGACAGTTTCAATTTTAGATGTCAGACCAGGGCTGCTTTTTGTTGCCAGACTGCCCCTGAAGCTTGAGATTTATATTCCTTGAGACATGTCACTAGCAAGGATAAAACTAAACTGACATAATTAGAACACGGTGTGACCATATTTTCACTATGAACGATCTCAGAGCAGGTTCAGGAACATAAAAAGTGTTTTGACAGGGGTTCTCTGGTTGGATGGACTCATCCAGAGGCTAAAAATCATTTCAGATAACAAACAATCAGATCAAATAACCCCAAAGAGACACTAGAATAATACTTTATTAATTAGAAGACACATATATACAAAATATTAACTACATACATAAATAAAGGTACATAATCATAGAAATATCCTCATATGAACAAACTTGGCACTGCAGATTTTTTCCAGTGAGTCATACACTGTTGGTTTGAATCAGAGACACTTTCGGTATCTCTTCGTATCATCTAATCACACTTTTAAAAACTACTTGATAACCAGTTTTTTTTAATACAATTATTATAATTTCTCTTTCAATCAGGTCACATGTACAGAGATTCCTCAGCTTGGTTAATGATGTTTAAGGTGCAGAAGTAAGACAACAAAGACAGGAGAGAACAGTAAACACCAAGCTGGGATATAGTCAAACACTGCAGAAATTTAATTGGTCGTGTTTAAAAAAAAAAAAGTCCCCTTCTATGTTTATTTCCTTCCAACATCTTCCCTTAAAAACCGAATAGTGTGACTGCTCTCAGAAAGCTTATTATCTCTTATTGCTTATTATCTGTGTTGCACCTTAGTTTTATTTAGCCTCCTTTGTCTTTGTTTAAACTGCTTCACAAGGGGGAAACCGTAGCAACAGTGATGACCCACAAGTCAGTGGTACAAATATTTCTTTTGAAATCAACAGCGAACTTACTCTCTCGTTAGCATCCAAGTTAGCGAGTTTGCTAAGTCAGCAAGCTTGTTGGGTTGCAAGCTCTGACCCTGTCTTCAGTAACTTTTTTTTGAATGAATGAATAAATGAACATTTCTCAGAGTAAGATGCTAAGAGAGCTACTGACTAGCGCTGGCATGTTCTCAGCTGGGTATTATGTTAGCAGCATTGCCATAATGGGCCCCTGTTCCAACAGTTCCCATCATGTGCTCATATAGCTTTACAGATTGCAGCTTCATAGTTTTTAAGCTCAGAGATGCAGAAAGTTACTCCTAAGTACTCGGCCTTAGGTTTTCTTTATGTCTGTTAGTTTGTGTTTATTTGATTAAACACAACTGTAAAAAAAATGCAAAATGTAAAAAAAAAAAAAAAGTGAATTACCAAGTGACACACAGAAAACCCAGGGCTGTTGGGGCCCCAAAGGCCTGGGGCCCTGCAAGAGTTGCCGACTTGGCCTAATTGGTAATCTAGCCTTGGTTAGCAGTTAGCTCACCAGCTATGGCACTTGCAGGTGATCACTACCTCACAAAGCATCTAGACCCAAATATTTTGCAAAGATGTGGCTGAGTTTTACTGTACTGCTGTCTAATGTCACCAGACCTTAAGAGAAGAACTGTAATTTTTTAAGAAAGCAGCTTTCCCTGGGGACAAATTAGTCTCTTTATTATGTTATATTGGAATGAATTCTCAATTACAGGTTGATCAAAAGTGAAAGACCAGCCTGGGGGCAGTTTTTTCTTTCTCTTGAAATGCAGCCCTGATCTTTTAGAGCACATTACGTACACTTTACAGTATAAAATGTACATGTTGTAGTGCTTTCAAATGTAAAACATGCCACTCGTATTATTACTACATTTATGCTTGAATGCATAGGAGACATTATTTTCAAGCCAGAATGACACCTTCATAATGAAATATAACTTCCTGTCT